GAGACAGTCTTGCCCTTACAGCCTGTCACAAGAGTGAGCTAGAGTCAGGGCAGATCAAGATGGTCTTGCACTTACATCCTGTCAAAAGAGTAAGAGTCAAGCCAGATCAATATCATGCTAGTATTTCACTCACAAACTGTTGAAGCAGTAAGCTAGAGGTCAAGCATAGTGATGCCAAAGTTCAGTTCAGTTCAGTTCAGCAGCATTTTTTGCTGAACTGAGAACTGAACTGACTAAGTTTTTCCTGAACTGAACTGAACTGTTAAAGAACTGGTTCGAACTGAACTGAACTGAAGAACTGTTATAAATTCTATATTTTACTTATTATTGGAAATTTTATGGTCCAAGGACCATCCTTAGGCCTTAGGCACTTAATTCCTACTCATGTATGATCTCAGGACCCCTTGAGAATATATAACACCACTGATTTGTATTTATGTTCCAAAATGGATAATGCTAATATATAACATAATCACATAATATACCAAGTCTGGCCATTATCTCCTTGCTCAATCATTGTTTTACTCCCAAAAGGACTTCCAAATAATTTGTACATCACTAAAGAACTAATTTCCAGGAAATAAATCAATATATAGGAATTTCTCATCCTTCCAGGACCTATCAGTTCAGCAGTTCAGTTCAGTTCAGTTCAGTCAGTTCAGGTTCAGTGAGTCAGTTCAGAACTGAACTTTGGCATCACTAGATGAGATTGGCTTTTTTTTTTTTTTTTTGTCAATTTAGGTCTTTGAAGCAGAGCTCCATGTTGACATTACATGCTTAATTATATACTGTGCTACATGGGCCCCTAATGCCCTTAAACCCATCCTTGCAGCCCCACAAAGTGTTACATTCCATCACACGTTACTCCGGTCCAACCGTTGGTGTTAAGTTTAAAAGCAAAGGAGAAGTCATGTCGGAGTTACTCCGGAATGGACGGAACGGAACCGGAACAGTAACCCGGAAAGGACGTTGGCCTCAGCATATGTGCTGTGCCGCCCAGCTCCTAAGGTGTCCTGATTTCGGAACGGAAGAAGAAAGTAATAAGTCGGAAGACCTCAGTGACTTAGAGGAAAACAAGAGGAGGGGAACTAAGTTGATATTTGAACTAAGGTAAAACATACAAGTTCGAGTACTTTAAATATAAAGAGAATTCCTGTCAAAAGAGTAAGCTAGAGTCAAGGCAGATCAAGATATTCTTGCACTCACCAACTGTCAAAATAGTAAGCTAGAATTAGGACAGACTGAAATGGTCTTACACTTACCTCCTGTCAAAAGAGTAAGCTAGAGTCAAGGCAGATCAAGATGGTCTTGTACTTACAAACTGTCAAAAATGTAAGCTAGAATCAATCCAGATCATGATGTCTTGCACTTACATCCTGTCAAAAGAGTACTAAGCTAGAGTCAAGGTATCAAGATGGTCTTGCAGTTACCTCCTGTCAAAAGAGTAAACTAGAATCAAAGCAGATTGGGATGGTCTTGTACTTACATCCTATTTAAAGAGTAAGATAGAGTCAAGGCATGGTCTTGTGCTTACAATCTATCAAAAGAGTAAAGTCAAGGCACATCAAAATGGTTTTGCACTTACAATCTGTCAAAAAAAATAATCAAGGTAACAACATAATAATAACACTTTTTATACCCACACGCTGTATTGATATATGTTAGTCCAAAGTGTTCAGTAAATGTCCAAGATAACATCTACAAAAATTGATCAGTTGTCAATGGCTTCTTTAGTCTGACCAAATACATACTACAATTTGTGGAAAATATGCCAGAACCATTGCCATGAAATATGCCCAGTCTCCTTTATTCTCCTTAAAAGACATTAAGAGAGTTGATTCCTTCAATTTCAAAACTCTAGGATTCATGTTAATGGTGGCAATTTGGAAACATCATGGTTCTCCACCTTTCAACCCCATATTTAATACAGACCTCAACATTGTTTTGCTGTCTTGAAAGAAAGAGCTGTTGTAATTCTTCACTAGATAATGCAGCTGTTGTTTTTTCAATCAAGTCTCTACAATCAGCTCCAGGCTCATGCATCTCTATAACAATTAGCCAAATAGTTGTTAACGGCTATAACACTTACTTCGAAATTCAACATATGCTTTTGGTAGATATTTAAACTCTTCAAATCGTTGACGAATACTCTGTTCAAAATCAGTCCAAGCTTTTTGTGGAGCTTGTTCCATTGCCTCAGATCTGTTACCTTCCTTCATGAGTTGCTTAATTTTAGCAATATCAAGAGAGTCGGCCTTGGTCCACAGAACAATCACTGGCACTTCACAGACTTATCCTTCACAGTAACATATTAATAAGACGAACCACACATACCAAGCCCTGTCCCACATTCATTGAAAAATTTCTGCTCTGCTGCTGCGATTGGTCGGTCGTCAATCGTTGGAATGCAGTACCTGCCCAAAATATTTTATTTCTGTCAAAGACAGTTGTTCTCTAAAGGTGAGAACTAACACACCAGATTGCATGAAATTGTTCCTTCACATTTTTTGCGCTCAAACGCTCCTTAATGAACTCCAGTGCTAGCCCCAGCACCCGAGGATTGCCGGCTTCAAAACCGTGAAAGATAAAACCAGGGTTGCTCTCAAATATCAGTTGATTCTTGATGTCGCGCGCTCCACGCTGCGGTTAGAGGATATGAATTGAACATAACCTAACACTAGTACATTAACGGGAACCGCTTACCCACATTGGCATGGCTGGCAGATTACTAAGGGCCGATGACTCGATCTGAGATTGTGGGCATGAATGTCAGTATCTTGCATGAACTTTCACCATATGCTTTCACCATTTCACCATTTGGACTGAAGATTGTAGGTTGTCTTGTAGCGTTGCAGAATCTGTGCAGGATTGTTGTCATGCCTGCGTTGGCTCGCCCGATCACGAGGATACGGAAACGAGTAAAATTTGCTTGCAGTTCCTGAATCTGCTCAGCAGTGAGTTGGGGTTTCGATGAAATAGACATTGCAAAAAAGATGCTCTCGTAGATGTGAACGATAGTCGATAAGTACACACACACTGGTCGTCCATTGTGACTGTCACCCACGGCAAGGAGCGGGAACGGTCCTTCTGCTTTTGTGACAACTAAATAGCATTATTATAATCCTACTTACCACGGAACAAAAACCATTGCATAGTTAGAGGGTGACCATCACGGTGGTCAAAAATATCTAAGCCCCTCCGCAGGTTAAGAGCTGTAAGTAATTCGCGGGGAGGCGAAAATCACCCAGGAATTTTCTCTGGGTTCGAAAGTATCGGAAAATCTCTTCTCGCAACATTGCTGATATGCCGCTCGCTTAGACTACAGTCTGGTATGCTAGCAACCCCGTAGTAGAACCCAACGCCGCGACCAGAGAAGTGGACGAGACTCGATTGATTCGGACAACATGGGCAACGATGAATGCTCATGAAAAATACTTCTCGCTTCAGTTATCGATCAATGGTATCTAGAAGCTCATATGAATTAGCTTCAGCTTTTATAACTTTGTAATCAAACAATACTTATACTTGATCACTTGTGTAAAATCTAAACCTCATTCAATTCTCGTATCTTCGTCACATCTGTGCTCCGAGTCTGCACTGGCTTATTGGTCGTTCAGTTCTTCACTTTCTTCAAGTTTGTCTGCATTGAAAAATTTCGGTTCTTCGCCTTGTAGCAGCTGTACTAAATGTTCGATATGTTCGGATATCGCAGATTAAACCGAGACTGGTCCAGAGCAGGAAATATAAGGCAAACTCTGTCCACTATTTCATGTTCGTATACTTCATGTTGCCGCTGATAGCCACGGCCCCACTGGCAAGTTCCAACGCGCACAGTAACAAAAGAAGCTCCACATGCGTAAGGCGAATAGTAACATCGGGTTCATGCGCTTTAGTTGGAGGCACAATACCAGGCGTTATTGTTTTTACGAGTCCTATTTATAGGACTCGTTCTTTTATGGAGCGGTCTCCACCAGGATTTTGTTGACGCTTAATGCGCCGGCAAACGCCGTGTTCTATTTTTAGTAACACCGCGGTCATAGGCATTCCTTCCCTCATCTTTTTCCGAACTTCAACAACCATTACGCTAACCGCTGCCTGACCTGGTTATAATTTATCAAGAATAAATATAATAGGAATTCTTAGTGCATGAGTGTGTCCTCATTTTCTTCAAGATGAGTTTATTGTTTATAAACTGGCATTCAACAACAAACCACCTAGAATGGCTGCTTAGTAAAGAAACGAACCACTTATGGAGGGACTCGTAAATGCCATGCAAGCAATGGCCCTCAGGCTATGTCGATGATGGAACCGAGACTACTACGTATTCAGAACTGAGAATGACCCTGTGTCCCGGAGCGTGGAATGAACAATGTCTGAAGAGGTTGTTATTATTAGCGTTGATGGGTAGGGGAATAAGCGCACTTGATTGTAGATGTAACACTACCCCTCCGAATTTGTCCTTGTACCTCGGTGAACGGAACTTGACCTTGGCTAGAGGACATTCCAAGCTGCTGTCAGCTTTGAGAACATCTGTCCGACGGATGTTACTACTGTCATATTGGCGAACACACTAAGCTAAGAGGTGAAGTTCAGCTTGTGTTTCGTTGGATAGGTCACTGGACTCAAACTACTAGTACTCGGGGAACCTAGAACGAAAACATCGACAACGAGCTGTGACGCTCGCACTTCTCTGTTTTCTCCAGTCGGATGTGGCACAGGTGCTGGACACGATCCATAGCGGGAGTCTGTAATATATAACGAGTTTGAAAGTCTCGAGTCTGGAATGGCTGAGACTTTGAGGGACAAGACGGTAGAGCAAGCAGTTTATGGTGGGTTCTAAATTACCGACCCCGTCAAAATGTTTCTTTTATATAAAAAAACGAAGCATATACATACAATAATGAAGAATAGAGGATGGTGATTCACCAAGGATCATTTTTACAAAATGTAAAACACGTACATCCTGATGCTGGTGATCCGAGTCTAACCCACAAAATAAGAACCACTGATGGGACTCGAACCCACAGCCTCTGCCTGGTAAACGACCATAGGAAAGCAACGCACTACCATTGTGCTACAGTGGCTTGCCTCAATGGCATCAGTTTACGAATAATATTCATGGGTGTCTGTACGGAGGCGGCGGCTTACTGCAGACCATCGAGAGTTAAACATAAAGTTACAGCGAAGAAAACGAGTCTTTAGAGATTGCTAGGCTCAATAAACCATGATAGTGCTATAGGTCACCGTACTTCCACAATATCAACTTGAAGGCCCAAAGATCATGATGGAAGGAGTCAAGGCGGAAACTGGAGCAGGGGTGGGTTGTGGATGAGCCGACGCCCAGCAATCGTATCGGAGAAACATTGGCAGCCGAGATTGGAGCCTCGCCCCCCTCTGTAAAGCATACTATAGTGTGGATACCTTTTGTGTGATATATTCTGATGAGATAAGATAACGCCATTGGTACTGGGAAATTTTTGATCGATCCTCACTGTTGAACGATGCCAAAGAGAAAACAGCAGGCCTCAGACGCTATCGACGACAACGACGATGCTGCTTCCACTTCTTCTGACGTGGTAAGTCTATCCCCCACGACGACCCATCAACAAAATACAAAATACTTACTGACTTTTTAAAACTCATTCCGTTCCGTCCACAAATTTTCAGAGCCTCATCGACGTCTCCTTTGATTTCTTCGATCCCAACCCAAATGTAGACTATCAAGCCATTAAACGGTTGCTTTCTCAGCTGTTCCAGCGCGATGCGGACGTATTACACGTGCATGAATTAACAGAGTTGATATTGGGCCAACCTACGGTGGGGACGACAATCAAGACCGATGGGATTGAGAGTGACCCATTGGCACTGCTGACAGTGCTTAATATGCACTTGCACCATGTACGTTTTCATGTTCTTTTTATTCTTTTAGTTACTTATTGGTTTCAACTGGATCTATTTGATAGCAAAACACATCTATAAAAGCCATCGCGAATTACCTGCTCGGGGTGACATCTACTGCCGATCCTGCTTTTCACGCGACTCTGCAAACGCTTTTCTCACAGTCTGAGGCCCATGTCGGGTTAGTGTTGTGCGAGAGGTTGGTTAATATGCCAGTGGAGGTGATACCTCCCATGTACAATATGCTGGCGGACGAAATCAAATGGGCTTTGGCAGATGTACGATCACTATTTCTCTTCGTCGTATTTCGTTTTCTGAAGGTTTCCCCCCCCGGGGAACAGGGAGAACCATACCACTTTACGCACCTCATCATCCTTTCTCGTATGTACCACCTTTCTGAAGAAGAAGAGTCGGTACTAGCGAACTCGGCCCCTTCTCGTCGCTCACGACCTCAAGATAAGAAACAGCGACCACAAGAAAATGGCCAGCAAATGCAGCGGCCAGCCGATGGGATTTACTCATTTCATCCAGAAGATGACATTGTTATGAAGGTACGTACGGACTGCCTTGCCAATCCAAATAACTAACCTTGTTGGACCCTTTGTAGTCTGCACTCCACTCATTGACGTACAATTATACTTCCCCACTTCCCCTGCTTGTACAAGAAACGCGGACAAAAGACGCGTTTGGACTTGATATACGTGGGAGGATGATGTTAGTCGTTGGGGGAGGCGAGACATTAAGAGAGCTGGGAGGGAGGATGACAGAAGTTTTTGGAAGAGGATGAATGGATGATAGTAAAACATTCCCTGGATTGCGATCCGTCCGTAGAAACAATATATCTTTACATATCGAAGCTATCAGGGCCGGAGCTATCCTTTATCTTTTCGTGCGAGTCTTTTTTACCTTTTGGCACCGTCCGGTCTCAAGATCCGTGCAAGTTTAAAATGAAAGATCTGCAGGTCTTCTCCCATCGATATTCTTCCCCCTTCCCATGTTCCGTCCGTGCATACGTTCTCTTAACAATGTCAAAGCAAGAAATACCCCAAGTTACCGCAAGTTCACATCTCGAGTCAAGATCAACAACAATGACAGCGTTTGGACGAAGAGAACGGCAGCTCGAGTTACTGTACTCACTGCCTCTTCTTTACTTCTAGCCTCTACGGTTTTTGCAGACAATAATGTGGAGACGAGCAAGGAGTCATCTTTGGGCTCTTCTATCCGCGCATATACGGTTTATACGATGTGTGCAATTCCTGCACTCGTGGATGCCTCACCACGCCTTCTCTCACTCATGTCCTCCATTCCTGGGCTCAAGCAGATCACAGAGGCATTTGTGAGGATTACATTCTTCGATCAGGTAATGGTCCAGCCTCTATTCTTCGTTTGTTCAGCATCTAAAAGTTCTTTTTGCCAGTTCGTAGGCGCAGATTCTGCCACTGAAGCTCTTCCACTCCTCCGCTCCCTCCGATCTGCGAATAAAGGCGTCCTTTTCGCTTATTCAGTCGAGGTTGACGAGAATGAGGCAACTGGTGCCTCTATTTCTCTTCCTTGTACTGATGGAACACACAACTCAGCTAATCATCCATCCCATTCAACAGGCGACGACGATAACAACAACAATTCGCATTTAAATGTTAGCACGGCTATACCGCCTTACCAGCGTATTGTAGATGAAATGCTGCATTGTATTGATGTAGCCGCTGATTTTGAGGAAGGGCTGATGTCCAAATCATCCGACTCGTTATCGGTGAAAGGCAGACGGACATGGGTAGCCATCAAAATGACTGCGTTGCTTCCTGATGCTCATGATCTAATTGCGCTTTCTTCATCTATCGTTGAATCTCGGAAGGATCCTCGAACTCCTGTTCAAAACGCCGCAATTCCGTTCCCTGGCTCGGCTAGAATAGAAGATCTTGATGTCATATTGAAGACGCCCCCAGCTGGTTATTCGGCACTGACGCCTGCACAAATATCAGGCATTCGAGAATTGTACAATAACTTGAGGAGAATATGTACTCGTGCCCAAGAGAGGGGAATTAAACTCATCGTTGATGCTGAATATAGGTATGTGGTTCATTCATTCATTCATGTTTTTTTTTTGTTTTATTCACGAAGATGTTGGATGTTAGCTGGTACCAACCTGCTATTGACGCTCTAACTTTGGCACTTATGCGTGAATTCAATTCCCTGGATGCGAAGAAGAATCGAGGACAAGTTCAACCCCTTGTATATGGTACATTCCAAGCTTATCTACGAAGGTACATCTTTCTCGCTACAAAGGGAAAGGTCAGCTAACAGATGATTAAAACAACAATAGGACTCCCGGGCAGTTGGCTCTCGCTCTTGCAGATGCACGCGCTAATAACTATGCTCTTGGTGTCAAACTCGTACGAGGAGCTTACCATCCCCACGAAATTGCCGCACATACGGCTGCAGCGGCTTATGACAAGGCTGCTACTAGTGGTAATAGTGCGATTGCTACTGTTCGTCCATTGTTGTCTATCTCTCCGGACCTTGAACCGCCTGTGTGGATGGAGAAGAGAGAGACGGATGAGGCGTATAATGGGTGTTTGAAGGTGTTGATCAAGGAAGTCAAGGAAGATGTAAAGAGGTGTGAAAAGGCTACTGGGCATAGTGTTGTCGAGGGGATTACCGAGGCTGGGAAGAAGAATAGATGGTTTGGATTGTTCAGTGGCAGTACCGATCCCATAGAGAATGGTAGGGCAGTTGAAGTTGACAAGAAAGGCAAGACGACGACCACGCTTCCGCCAAGAATTGGCGTTCTGTTCGGTACACATAATTGGAATAGCTGTGGGTTGGTTCTGAAGAGTCTTGTGGATGCTGGGTTGGCTGTTACCAGTGACGGTCAAGATTCCAAGTCTGAAGCGGGAGAACTTGTAGGCGTCGTCAATATCAGCGACGAGGCGGTGGAGAGGATTGCCATTGGTCAACTTTATGGTGCGTTGTTGAGATTTTGGTTGCGAATGTCCCAAGTTCACTTTTTTTTTAAAACATAAAAAGGTATGTGTGATGATTTGACGGATTGGGTGGTGAAGCACACGGTGTCGAATGCACCGTTTGTTATCAAGTAAGCTTTCTTCTTTTTTTTTTGTGGTCAATGCGAACTAAAATGTGGATGTTTTTCTTTCGTTAAGATATGTTCCCTATGGAGCATTAGCAGAGGTCAATCCTACTTTTCTTTCTTAAACCCCAACCCTTGATTTACGGTCTGTGCTTAGGTTCTCCCATACCTCAGCAGACGAGCCATCGAAAATAAATCTGTTTTGGGAGATGGAGCGGCGAGTAGGGAAAGGCAAAGAGCAGGAAGGGAGATCTGGAAACGGATAGTCGGATGAAAGGGTTATAAAAGTAACAAAGTTGAGGACGTTCCAGTATTCGAGATTCCGCCCCTCTGCCCCTCCGCGTCAGTCACACACTTACACAAAGTCACATTATTGACATGTCACCTACATTGCCCTTTCAGGCCTTTCCATCAATACGACTTTAAAGCTTTACCGTCTATACATTGTACTTTATAGATCCCCGTTGCACTTATTGCTCACCCACTGTACATTTATACATCACCCTCTCGGGCCTTCAATAAAACTTACTGTTTATACTGTGACATTGTGCTTGTTGATCAATATAGGTCATACTTGCTGGCCACTGATGAGGTCTTTACAGTGCCCCACGGTTTCCGCTCGGAATCCGAATGGAATCCGAGTGGATTCCAAGCATTCCGAGGAGCAAACTCAGACTCCAAGTGGAATATTTTCTGGCAGGTAACCTTGAGGTAACCCCCTCAATTTTGTGAGTTTGGTCGGAATGTATTCCACTTGGAATCCACAGTTCCAAAGTGACGCAGAAATAAATCTTATTATTAAAATAATTAAAATTATATAACAATGCTTAAGTTATACATTAGAGCCGGCAATACCTATCATCAGAATAATGTATTTTGTTTAGGCTGCGAGGTGGTCATGTGATGTCATGTGACCACATGTGACACATCTCCCAAATCAACAAACAACTTAGCCTGGTACCTGTTACAGTTCTGATACTGGGATCCAACAATTGTTGTGAAATATAAACTCTGAAAGGCTGCCGACCATCAGCGCCACATGTGGATGCGACATGTCAAGATCAGATAAACAAACATCGATAGTTCTGTGTTTCCGCTCTC